CTTCCTTATATTTATATGAATTTTGAAAATTACCTTGGAATTCAGACCCATCAGCCGGTGGGAGTGGTGTAGAATATTCTGTTGTATCCACAACAAATTCAGTTACGCTAGAAGATTGAGAGAACTTCCAGGTCCTAAGAATCAGCAACAATAATAACATAAACCTGGTACTGAATTAGTTACAGTTGAGTTAAGATAGAGAGATTGAATAGATATATAATAAAAATAGATAGTATAAACCTATACTTAATTGGTTGCAGTTAAACACTTGACCAAAAAATTAAACAAAATGATAACAAACACTATGTACGTAAGTTTTGGTAATGACTCTAGAGTCTAGGACCAATTCTTCGTGCGATTGGTAACATCAATTAAACTGTGATTTGGCAGACATGGAATCAAGGTCGAATCTCTATTGTTAAAGAACATAATAGCCTGGGATCCCCAGGTAAAAACAGTCACTGTTTGATGGTAATTCATTTGCAGTAATGGGTTAATTTGCAGTTTATTAGGGCGGCAATCACAGCCGCCCTAATAAAAATTCTTTTATCTTTTTATGGACTTTGCGATGCTGCAAAGGCGGTCAAACTATTCGATTACCCAGTAGAGGAATCTACGAATCTATCCAAAGTAATAATATATATACAGGGTGGCCCAAATGTAACTACCCACACGCAACCCTTTAATAATTCACGTTGTTCGGGTCAGAATTTCACAAAAATGTTAGAGAATATAGATACGTAATGACCAATTTACAAAAAGTTATATACAGGTATACATAATAATATTATATTTAAAGAACTGCATTTAAGTGTCCTGTTCAGAATCTACAGGAATGAGGACTCTGATGGCGGAGAGAGGGAGGATCTGAGATGTGTTAGAAGTTTACACGATACAAGAGTGGAATCCCCGGCTGGAAGGATCTCTCGACAATTGTAATTACAGCGGACAACGGTCGAATAGTTAAAACTCAATTTATACAATTGCTGGCTTAGGTCGGAGGGAGAAGTTGGTGTTAATTTGTTGGAAGTTAAAGACTAACGAGTTGCTGGGGAAGGAAGGGTCACACGATTACTTAATATGTGAACGACCCCTAAGGTAGAAGAAGTCAAAGTATCCTCCTCGTTGGTAAGACCACTTCGGGCACCAGCCAATAAAGTGGTTCAGGTTACTTTGCTCAGATTACTTGGCTCAGATCTCGTGTATTCTAATGCTTTGTGAGGGCCTGCCATGGTTCAGATCTCGCGTCTTGGGTCGGAAATACGATGTTTTTAAATTTTTAATAAAATGGTTTCTGCCACCAGCCGCAAGCTATAAAATAACAACAACTGTTGAGCCACCAAGACCACAAGGGCATACTATGACCATTGCTTCTCTAATCCTGCATACAGATCACTTTTCACAGGCTATTCACTACTACAGTACTACAATACCATTAGTTGAGGTAAGCCCACTCACTTAAAAAAGTAAAAAGGGTTAGATCCCCAGTTGACTTGGTCATGTTATGAGGCTGGGTGAGTGGGGCGAATATGTTGCAGGTCTTTGCCTGGGGTCAATATTACCAAGCTGTCAAAATATTATTAGTGATTAGTGAACTACTGAACTAGTAGCTCACTACTCAAAAAGTCAAAAAGACAAGTAAACCTTGTTATTGCAGCTGTCTCAATAGACGGAGAAGACGTATATATTTTTGTTGAATATTATAACTAGAAACCAGGCAGCAGCTAAACTAGAGGCGAGCGGTATTTGTAAACCTGTTTATCTGTTAGTTATTTCTAACTGATTGATAAAGCATGGCAACGCGCCATTTACCTTTGCTAAAATAACACAATTATTCTAACGTTCATTTTACCTCACTTCCGACGTTAATTATAGAAAATCTAAAGCCTTAATCAAAATTCTAAGAATACTATAGTATATCCTATTCTTATCCTTTTTTACAACCCTGCTAAAAATGGCGAGGTGTCAACTCCATTTGCAAGCTCAAATCGGTGACACCAGAGGGTCATTTTTAGGTAGATTTTCAATGTCTTTTATGAAATTTCCCCGTTGCCGGGGGAGTTCGTCAAGTTTAAAATATAGTATAGATAAGTAAGTATCAAGGATTTATTATGTATTTGTGTCCACAATCAATATGTACTGAATGTTGATCCTGGTTCTGCCAGTGGAGTCCTAACTATCTGACTCGCAGCTGTCAAGACTTTCGGCCTACAAATGTCTTCTTAGTAAGCCTGAGACAGAGCATTTTAACTTTTAAGTTAAAAACACTTATATTGTGAGAACGGAGATGGCAATATGGAGGTGTTACCATGTCCTTAATTCACACACAGATATTGGTAAACTAATATGCAGCAAACCACGTACGAAGCAGCAAACCACGTACGAAGCAGCAAACCACGTACGAAGCAGCAAACCACGTACGAAGACCGCAGAGATCACAGATTAGGTACTAAACACAGATTACTATACGTAGTTAGAGAGAGAGAGTGTCTTAGTGTCTAGATGTTTGTAATGTGCTCGAAACAGTCCATTTATCCAGGAGCGGGTCATTGTTCTACGACCTTCCATGACAATCAAAGCATAACGTTTAAGGTAATTGATAGTTCAATACCCCAACGCGACAAAACTGTTATCATGCAAATGAATTACAGGTCTCACTTGCCTCAAACGTAAATTATACAGATCTTCCATGACAATCAAAGCATAAGTCAGAGTCAACTTTTTCTTCCACACCCAGTTGCCACTTAAGCGTTCATACACGACACATCTTACAACACTTACCATCATCCTACATTACACATTCCTCCGGCATCCTCCCATAGGACTGCCATACTCCAGAGGTAAGCAAAGCATCCACATGCTATCCTCTCGTGGCCCAGGCCCCAGCCTCTCTAAAAGAATAGTAATAATAATAAAGGTTCGCCCATTAACCCGAGGGGGGATGGGGTTCCTAATCCTAAATTATTAGTATTACGCTAGTGTAAGTTTGACACAATAGCTATTTTTAATTGTAAAGCTGATTACGAATACGGGGAGGGGGGTTGAAAATTACCCAAAAAGTGATTACTTGATAATATGTGAACGACCCCTAAGGTGTTTGATCGTTTATGACCCCAACACGAACGACGCGACAAAACTGCTCCTTTATGTTTATCATGCAGAATAATTACAGGTCTCACTTGCCCCAAATGTAAATTATCTAATTCTTAGCACCAGCTTATCATTAATCAAACATGTTATTGGTTATATTGACAAAGGAAGACAGTTGATCGCCAAAATATAATAAATGAAGCAATTACAATAATATTTGATCATAGACACATAATGATAATAATTATAATAATGATAATAGCATACAGCACGAACGACAAAACTGCTCCTTCAAATGGTTATCATGCAGATGAATTACAGGTCTCACTTGCCTCCGAGTTATACAGATCTTAGCACCAGCCACCAGACTAACAATAGTGAATGAACAATATTGATCCAGGAGCAGGATATGACCCATCGTTCTACGACCTTCCATGACAATCAAAGCAGATCGTTTAAGGTAATTGATAGTTTATAGACCCCAACGCGACAAAACTGTTATCATGCAAATGAATTACAGGTCTTACTTGCCTCAAAAGCTCAAAGTTATAAAGATTTTACTTTTAGCACCAGCTACCAGACTAACAATAGTATTAATAAGTGAACATTCTAGGGTTAATGGCCCATTTGACCCTAGTGGGCTTGTGGTACACCAAATTTCACATTCATTGTATCCGATGGTTATTGGTTATACATTGTTAAACATAACATCCTGCTTTTTGCTAGCCAAATAGCTATTCCATAAGAGCATAAGTAAAGTACCGTACCCCTAATACCATAGGTGTTCAAGTTACATAGTCTTTCTTAAATCCAAACTCTGAGCAATTTGTACATAGATGACCTTCTCGAAAATTTTAAATTACCAAATTGGTAATATTGATGCAGGCTGATATAATAATTATAATGCATTCCATAATATCTTTCTTGTAAGTAGAAATAACTCTGATATAACATCGGTGATTTTGGCTGTTTTTTACTGAATTAGACATGTACCGAGCAAAGGAATCTACTTGTTCCACTAACGGTGAAGGCGACAGAGAAATGGACGGGATATAAACCAGCGATCAATGATGCAACGACACGTGCGCTGAGCGCACTGTGCTCATACCAAATGCAAAACGTGCAATTGAAGGAGAAGGAGTACAAAATTGACAAGAAAGACAAAAAATATTTTAAAAAGACAAAAAAGATGAAAAAGATAAAAAGAAGAAAGACAAAAGACGAAAAGAAGAAAGAGATGAAAAAGAAGAAAAGGGACACTGAATAGTGATTGTCACCAATATCTGAGTTTCTTTCTTTGGTTTGAACGAGATTTAGCCATTCGGAGCAGCATGAATAAAATTTAGACTTGTGATCAAAGTAATTAGACAAATAATTTAATTCTGTCAAATCATTAATCATTATTGTTTTACCTGGGGACCTCAGGCTATCATGTTCATAAACATATGAATTATGAATAGAGATTAGGTGGAATGACAGGCTGAGCGCGACCCAGTAAGGTCAATGAATATCCCTAGGTCAATGAATATCCATAGATGTGTTTATTGCTAGCCTGTGTCTTTTTTTCTATACCGTGCTCTTTTCGTTAGGCCCGGTATAGGTTTGACTTTATATGTATTACTAATCGTGTACGTGCCTGGAAAAAAACATCCTTCGTAGATACCATCAATTAAAACCAGAACATTTACTTTCCTAATCGAAGCGAAGAAAAACTAAACGCATTATGACACTTTGCACCTTAAATTTAAAATCCTCACTTTAATAAATATGGAGCTAATGTCAGGCTAAACATAATTTCTGACGATGAAACTGTTTGATAAACATCGGGCAGTAAGATTTTTTTAATTTTTTAAAACACATGATATTGATACCATATACATATATTGAAAAATAAAACAGATGGCTTTGAATTAAGTTATAACAAATTGTAGATTCTTATACAATAATCATAAACTTTTTGTTCTAGACAATTTGACTAATCATGTTTTATTCAGCATCATCTTTTTTCTTCTTCTTGTCCTTCTTGTCCTTCTTTTTCTTCTCCTTTCTCTTCTCCTTTTTCTTCTCCTTTTTGTCTTTCTTCTTCTTCTCCTTTTTGTCCTCTTCTTCCTCTTCCTCCTCTTCCTCCTCTTCCTCCTCTTCCTCCTCTTCCTCCTCTTCATCCGCACTTGACTCACTGCCAAATATCTGAACCTCGCAAAGTGTCAAAACAGCTTCATCCTGAACAATCTTCACGACATCACCCTCCAGTCCTGGGGCACACTGGAATGTTTCACTTACCTTAATTAATTCCTCAACGGTGGCACATTCTTCAAAGGCTCCATCCTTTCCTACCATGATTTTAGCGCCGATGATTCTAGAACCAGCACAATCTATTCTGTTGAAAATCTTCACCGCCTCAATTGTGTAGACCTTTTCGAGTGTAACCTAAAAGAACAGTAAAATTACGCTCAGTTTTAACACAAATTAACTCTTCTAAACTCTTGTTTGATTTTGATGCATGTAAATTAATAAGTTTTAAAAATTCCATTGTTTTATATTGTTTTTGAGTCGAAGTGTAACATCAATATTAAAAATTCCTTTTTGAGTGTCCTACACTCGTTTAAGATGAAAAATGTTCATCTTACTAATCAGGTTATTTTTTGTTAATCAATTAAAAAATAAAATAAAATAAAAAAGTTATTTTGTTAACAAAGTCTTAAAAACCTGCCACCAGTTATCTTTAGCATATTTGGTGTGTGTACACGAGTTGTCTCCCCAGTCTCCATTGGTAAACCCGTCCACTGCTTTGTCGCTCTCCCCTTTTGGACCCGGACATTGTCCGCGCCGTATGTATCCTCCGTATGTAGAACTCTGGAATTGATTAATTTATTAATTTGTTAATTGGTTGAGTCACTAATTGATTAATTGATTAATTGATTAATTGATTAATTGATTAATTGATTAATTGATTAATTGATTAATTGATTAATTGATTAATTGATTAATTGATTAACTATATGCATATATAAACTGATTGATTGAATGAGGAGCCTAGATCAATCATTGAAAATAAAGATCTTAAGCTCGTTTGAGCTTATTCGACGCTTTTTTACTACATTATAAGCATTTGGTAATGTCAAAAAGGAAAGAAATTGAGTTTTACCTGTTAAACAATAAACATTAAAAAATTACCTTCTAACTGACCTGAGAAGTGGGACGTCTCAAAGCGAGGTTTTTTTGGCAATAAGCCAGCTGAATACCGATCAAAGCCAATAAAACTATTGTTGAGTTCATCTTGATGCGATAAGAAATGAGCATCGCACTGGGCCAGCCTCCTTTACATAGGTCTGCTTGGTTTCGTTACTGTCAGTGTGTTATTTACTGGCGTCTGTTGACTGTTCATTTGAGTTGGAAAGTTTGAGTTATTAAACAATGAATACAAAACCTTTCATTGTGCCTTCGTTATTTAATTTTAACGTTATGAATTGTTTAGTTATGTTTTTGTCAGCTAGAGGTTTTACTTTTATTCTCGCGGCAATGGTGGTTTTGTTCCTGGCGCCAGATAGCCAACCCATTATAAAAGCTAACAATAACTCTTTTTCGGGAAGATTGTTTTAACGAAATTTATTATAAGCGTAACGGGATAATGAAAATATACGTTTTTGTTCTCGCGTTTAATTCTACAAAATGTTTTTGTTATTTACATTTCAAAATTAACTGAAAAATGCGAACTTTCTTAACGTTAGAGGAGTTTATATTGTCCAATGTCAGCCATACTATCGTCACTATCTTTCCATCATAATAGAACAAGCATGGTATGTTTATAATTGTTTCATATTATATTTATTGGTGGACACGTAAATCTTCACTGAATGACGTTAACTTGTCATGTAGCGAAACGCTGCCCCATAAATTTTGAAATAACAATTATTTATAGTAAATAATTGTGTGAACTTCATGTTCCCAAGACGTACTCTTAATAGTCACAAATATAAAATATTAATTGAATTGGATAATGAATTATTGATATCTCTGTTTGATAATACCATAATATAATGATACGATATATTTCAGATGGGAAGAGCACTTCTGTCCACGGTGAAGATTGAGGAGTATTCTCCGCGGGGCACTGATAACCCAACTACTGCTGGAATCTTCCAACATAACGGTCAGTGCCAACATTTTCATTGACATCTATAACTTTATCAGTCTTACTTTTAATAAGGAGGTAATTCTTTTAATTTTACATTAAATAAGCTATTTACAGGTGTAAAATCAATATTATGTAGATTACAGCAGGAGCCTGAAGCAAGACGTATTTGTTTTTTTTTTGGACAGCTGTGAAATGCCCACCCTTATTTTAAAGCAACTGATCCATCGAATAAAGCTCTTCATGAAAATAAACACTTAAAATATCGCAAACAGAATAAATAGCATTTCCTAACCCCCTTTTACCTCCAAGGTTTCATGCTGATAGAACCTGTAGACGACCCCATCCCAGAAACGGCCTCACCCTTCAACCCGGACCTTGCCGAACAGCTAATCCGTGAAAGTGTGACATCCATCCGTGGCAACGCGCCAACAATCACAACACCACGTGCGCGCAGCATAACTCCACGTGCAACTACTCCCTCACGTTCCCACCCCGGACCTCAGGACCGGATAGTATCTGGAGAGACCAGGATATCATCTCCAAACATGATGTCATCTTCAGGCCGGGTAACGTCTCCAGGAAGGATCTCATCGCCTCAGCTGCAGGAGAGACCATACACTCCCCCTAAAGTTGATAGATCTCACGATCAGCCCCTGTCTGTTAGGTAGGGCATGTTTAATAATTGATTAATGCGTCCTTGCGGCATAAAACGCCCTTTCCTGCATTTGGTTTAAAATCTGAACCCCAGTTTCTGTCTCTAAGAGCTTTAAAATATGAGCTGAATTGTTAATTAATTGCCGATCACTCCTCAGAAGTTCATTTAACCGATCTGGAAGGAACTACACCGAATCTACCCGCTCACCCCTCATCCGGCGCATGCCTACCAATCCTGAGTAAGATACTTTCAAGAAATATCAAGATCAAGATTTTGATGTTAAATCAAAATTTGATATCTTTATCGAAAACTTGTTTCCAGTGACACTTTTCAGTTGCTGTTCGGTTTCTATAACCAAATTGCGGCACAAACATTCCCTTGATTGTTGAAAACAAGCGAATTGGTTAAAATGTTGGTACCTAACAAGTTACAAGTCGGCTAACGGAGTAACCGCCCTCTGTTCAGTGTCATGACATGGATCTTGCCTTCTGTCCCAGTTGTCCTGATAATTTACTTGAAAAATATGGTAACACGGCACAGAAGGAGTAACCAGCAATTTGTTATCTGAATTTTTATAATCGCTAGGTTCTGAAAACTTCTGATGAATACATGACGTGTATTATCAGAATATTATGTACTATAAATTATCACGATTTCTGGTGTCATGCTGCTCCACAACTGGATTTTTGTCCTTGCTAATTTACTTGTAAATACTGAAACACGGCACAAGAAGAGTAACAGCAATGTTATATGAATTTTTTAACATCGGAACTATGTGCAGTTTGGATGCAGTTAGACCGGTAGGCCAAATATTTTGAGGCCAACAAAAGTTGGCCTTTTCGCCCCCTTCTCAATACGATCAAAAAATCGAAGAAAGCTTACCTCTCTCAGGAGTGTGCGTTATACTGTAAGGTTTGAACCAGCGATAAAGTCATTCTCACCTTGAATTAAAGTTATTCTCACCTTTTGATTATGTATTTTTCACATTTTGATTAAGTTATTCTCACAGTGATTATGTTATTCTCACCATGGATTAAGTCATTTATCACTTGATTAAGTCATTTCACCTTGATTAAGTTAATATCTCAGTGCATTGATTAAAGTTATTCTCAGTGCATTTGATTAATGTTATTCTACAGTGCATTGTTAAGTTATTCTTCACCTTGGATTAAATTTTTCTTCAGCTGATTAAGTTATTCTTCACCTTGATTTAGTTATTCCACCCTTGACTAAGTTATTTCTTCACTTGATAAGTCACATTCTCACGTTTGGATTAAGTCATTATCACCTTGATTGAGTTATTTCAGTGCATTGATTAAAAGTTTATTTCAGTGCATTGGATTAAGTTATTTTCACTTGATTATATTTATTCTCAGCTTGATTAAGTTTATTCTTCACACTTGATTTGTTTATTCTCACCTGATTTAAGTCATTCTCACCCGTGATTAAGTTATTTCTCAGTTGCATTGTTAAAAGTTTTTATTCTCACCTTGATTAAGTTATTCTTACCTAGATTAAGTTCTTCTCACACTTGGATTAAGTCATTCCTCACCTTGAGTATGTTCTTTTCACTTGATTAAGTTATTTTCTCAGTGCATTGATTAAGTTATTCTCCAGCAGTTGCATTGTTTAGGATATTCTCAGTGCTTGGTTAAAGTTATTCTTCACCTAGATTATGTTTTTCTCACCTTTATTAAGTTATTCTCACTTTGGACGGTCTGGTTAACGATCCTTTGCGAACTTGATGCCCTTTCCCAAAGGTAGCGTGTATTAGTACAATTTTCCTGGACGAATAAGCACTTCAAATAGGAGGTTTAAAATTAGTAAACAATTAATGATATAAAATTGCTAATTTAAAAACTAAGGATACATGAATTATAGAAGATGCTTCCTGGTTATTCTCCAGTTTCAGGTTTGTAATTAACTTTCATGTTTCATTGTCTGTGTTCTCATACCCCCTTGGAAGAGATAAAACCTGTAGAAACAAACTTTCGACTCCTTTTAAGCTTATATCTATGGCTTATTATTTTTAAACATTTATATTTTGATATTTGATATATGCTTGATATTCATGATAACACAGATTGATTATAATTAAAAGGGACACTGCTAAAGCCAGTACAGTCGACTTTAAGGTTCCACCAAGTTCTTTTAAGTCTGGGTCGGCACTGTTTGAACTTATCTAAAAGCATTAGGCCATTGTTTATGTGGAGATATATCAGATAGCTGCTGCGGTCAACGTGGGCACAAACAAAGTCACCACGTGGGATCAAACAAGGTCCAAGGCACGTGGGCACATTAACTTTGGATGTATCAATTGTGTGTAACCCGTCTGCTACATTAAGTGAACCACGGGGGTTTGGTTTGCCCTCTTGGAAAAGGTGGATGTCCTTGCTGTACGGCAGTGTTAAACAAGGAACTGAACCGAGGGGTTCCGTTCAGGCCCTTCACACTTTGTTTCTGTCTAGTTCTAATGTACCGTCACAATAGTAGTTAAAGGGGGCTATATTTATGAGTCGCATTTGAACTTGATTTTGCTTGGAGAAGTTATCTTTTGACTCTTAAAGATGCGAACAAAATGAAGAAACAGACTTTAGGCTAGAAACTTTATTGAATTGAAATAATCATTCCACGTAACTACGTCTTCTTCAGTTCTGTAATAAAATTGTTAAACATGTGTAAAATTAACGACGGAAAGAAATTTAAAATAACATTAAAACAAAAACAGAGAAATAAAATTTACGAAATATGACCCAAAAATGTAATTGCAAAAAATTCAAAACTTCAAAAAATACGACAGAAGAAATGTAAGCTAATACAACTAAATCCTGTACTACTCATGATACTATACTAATTAGTAAACGTAAAACTGGTTGTTCAGAAATCCCCAATTCATGTGTAAAAAACTATTGATAAAATCAGCACTTAATCAACGATAACTCGGTTGCCATGGTTACTATCCAAGCTAGTCCTATCAATACATTACTTACTAGTTAAATATCGACTAAATATTTGTACAAATAACTCAACTCAGAACGATCATTCATTTCAGGACTTAATCTCAATATATACATCGCTTCTACAATCTTTCTACGAACAGTTTTACTCTGTAAATCAAGTAACTTAAAAGATAAAACTGGGGTTCGGTTAGGATGTAGAGATGCGTAGTGCTGTCCAACCCCATTCTCTGGATGTGCTCTAGGATTCCTAAGTCACAATAGTGACTTTAAATATACTGGTGATTTTAGTATTCTTGAAAAAAAAATCACGAAGTTTTTTTAAAAGCATTTTTCTCCACGTTTTATGCAATTTGATAAGGCCCCTTCCAGCCATTGCCACTGCGAATTTAACCTAAAACCTGCCCAGTTAATAGCGAAGACTGCGAAATTACCACTCCTGCCTAGTAATCTAATTTACCCTGTCCAGATCAGCAGTATATTACACTAAATCCGCAGGTTTTCTCTTAATTTTTTATGTCAAAACCTGCCTAATTAACTAGTGATCCTGCATCAACAGCGCAGGTATTTGTTATTTGGCAGGTTTTCTATTAACTTGGCAGGATTTGCTATAAAATTATCAATCCTTTCCGGATGGATTACGGCAGTGATAAAGTTAAATCGGCAGGTTTTCCATTAACTTGGCAGGATTTTTTATAAAATTATCAATCCTTGCCGGATAGATTACGGCAGTGATAAAGTTAAATCGGCAGGTTTTCCATTAACTTTGCAGGATTTGTTATAAAATTATCAATCCATGCCAAATAGATTATAATGCTATAATCTTATTATGGCAGCGTTAAATTTATAAATTGGCAGGTTTCTTTTATCTTTCTTTTAAGTTCTTAAGTTATTTGGAATTTTGCTTATTTGGCACCAAAACTAAAAGTCAATAAAACCGAGTTGATTAGCGCAGTCAAGAAATTGGCCGGAGTTGATAAAAAGCTGACAACCATGGCACTGAATCTCCAAATGAGAGGTATAGTACGCTATATACTTATATACTTATATAGTACGGTACCGCAACAATTGACCCCCTCCCCCCCCCCCCCCCCCCCCCCTCCGACAAATGACCCCCTGATGCAATCTACCCCCGACAATTGACCCCCCATGTAATTACACTGGGGTCAATTCAGGGTTAGGGTAAGGGTTAGGGTCAGGGTTAGGGTCAGGGTTAGGGTCAGGGTTAGGGTCAGGGTTAGAGTCAGGGTTAGGGTCAGGGTTAGGGTCAGGGTTAGGGTCAGGGTTAGGGTCAGGGTCAGGGTTAGGGTTAGGGTTAGGGTCAGGGTCAGGGTTAGGGTCAGGGTTAGGGTTACTGGGTAACACGACTCCTGTCAGCGACATCTGTCCGACAGCGACATCTGTCCGACTCAGGGTACCAGAAAAAACGACATTTGTCCGAAATTGTGATCTGATTTCAATACAACACATTTCCAATTAGAGACGTGATCTGAACTGTTAATTTGAATACGTAACATTGCCAATTTGAGATATGATCTGAGCCATAGTGTACTACTAGTTTATTTTCGACCTAGGCAGGCAGGCATGAAGCAACTGCGTTGTGAATGGCGAGCTCGTAGTCCATGAGAATGTATTGTGGTTGGTAGCCCCAAGGCCTCAGAAGCCCAGGTGTCTATCTCCTCGAACATGTTGCGGTAGAGGGTCGTCGATTTTCCAGGAATGAGTCCTTAGAAGAGGGGGAGGTGCCAGCCGTCAGGGAAGAGTCCGTGGACTGTGAAGAGCTGATGGAAGAGATTAGGTGCGGATTTGAAGGTACCGTTGGGCGTTGACTACGCAATGCTCCGCGTCCACCATATGATCTGCGTTCTTAGGAGTCCCCCAAAGGAATGATCGACGAGTCTGTTCGTCCCATCCAGAGTCCCAGAGCATCATTGGACTGTTGTCGGTAGAGAGGATTTAGTTTGCAGGAATGGATAGCGTTTCCAGATCTCTCGGGTCTGTTTGCTGCAGATCTGGGTCTGTTTACTGAAGATTGATTGCCATTGTGGATTGCGATAACTGATCTCCATACGGCTGCTATCCTATATGTACTCATGTAGGCTGTGTCCTGTGATGTGATCGACAGCTTGTTAGTGTACGGCTAGCACAATCCTGTCCTTAAATAGTCAATCACGTATCGATGGATCAGATCTCAATGGATCAAATCAGCATTCGAACAATGGGAGCAACGTCACGAAATTACCCGTGAGTTTGTGAAATACGAATGTGAACCGAAATTACAATAT